ATGTTTCTAATTCTGTTGTTGAATTCATCGTATGAATTCTTTCTACCCTTAGAAATTACTTTCTACTGTAAGAAAAAATCTTAGTAGATTATTTCTACGCTTGGTCCCACTGTAGCTCTCATAAACTGTTTGGAAACACAGTTGATTAAAATGACCTCAGCCCATTTATCTTGGCCAGGCTTTTCTCCTAAAGTTTGTATTTGGATATCTGTTTTGGGGAAGGTGAAGGCATGCTTTGAAGCCAATTAGTGCTGACTTATAACAAGGTTTATATTTGTCATTGACGCTTTCCTTGCAGGTGTCAGTGCTACTCAGCTAATATTTGCTTAAGCATTATTTTCTGAAACCTAGGTTTTTCCTACACCGCCCAAGGGCTGGTTACTGAAAGTCAGCCTGCTCCAATCTCTGGACATGCTCTGCTGTCTTCTCCTTCTTGAGTGCATTATGGGGCATCAGATTCCCTGTTGATCTTGGATAGAAGGAAGAATCACCCCAGAGAATTATGAAAGGTAGCCAAGTTTTAGGTGAATGTGCATTTTCATAATATTCTATCAAATTTCCAATATCTCACATTTCCTCTGAGATATTTTCCCAAGCCCTTACTTAAATTATTTGAATAATTATGTTTTAAAGCTTTCCTTTGCTTCTGTCACTTGAGAAGCACTGGTCAAATAGACATATAGAAAGGCTTTGGGGTCTTCCATTATAACCCCATGTGGCCTCTTTGGTGTGGTATCCATCATGCAAAAGGCTGCAGAGCCACTGTGCTCATTACTGAAGAGGCGTTTGGGGCCCACAGTAATGGCAACTGGCCTAGGTCCATGTAGCATACAAATAGACCTGATGCCCACTCTGATTCCTATGTCACTATTTGTACAAGTGTTTAATCTTGAAAGTATTTTCTCATAGTAGCTTTGTAGCATAATTTCAAGTCAGGGATTGTGATGCCTCCTACCTTATTTTGTTGCCCAGGATTGCTTTTGTTATTCTAGGTCTCTTTTGGTTCCAGATGAATTTTAGGAATGTTTTCTCCAGATCTGTGAGATATATTAATGGTATTTTGATCAGGCTTGCATTGAATCTGTATAACAGTTTTGGGAGTATGGCCATTTTCACAATGTTGGTTCTTCCTATCCATGAGCAAGGAATATATTTTCATTTTCTGAAATCCTCTTCGATCTCTTTTTTTCAGAGTACTGTAATTTTCAATGCATAGATTTTTTATTTCCTTTGTTACATTGATTCCTAAGTATTTCTTTTCTTTTTTTTAATGCTGTTTTGAAGGGTGTGGTTTCCCTAATTTCTTTCTCAGTGAGTTTGTTGTTTGTGTACAGGAATGCTATTGATTTTTGAATGTTGACTTTGTATCCAGCTGTGCTACTGAATTTAGTTATTAAATCTACAAGTCTTATGGTGGAATTTTTGGGGTCTTCTTTGTAGATTATCATGTCGTCTGCGAGCATGCCTATATCTGGTAATCTGAATAACTACTTTGAAGATAACAATATACAATTTAACAACTGTTGTTCATTTCCTGTTATCATATTTTGAAATTCAGTATTGTTTTTAATGTTTTTTTTAAAAAATGTTTATTCTCCTTAAAATAAAAAGTATTGTCTATGTTTAAGGAACTGCTTTATGGCACTGTCATTTACAGCCTGACATAGAGTAAGTTAGTTTATCTACTCATGCTTTGCTGTCTTCATCTGTAAAGTGGTTGATAACTCTTATGAGGTTGTTGGAGGATAGATGGGTTAATCATGGGAAACACAGAAGACCTACAGTCCCTCACCTATAAGAAGCACTAAAACAGGTTATCTGATTCATGCCACTAACCTTGCAAAGTTAAATTCTTAAAAGAAATTCTACTTTTCTGTTGACTTCCATTCTAAATTGTTATGTGTGTCAGTAGAAGTCAGTGAGACTCAGCTGTATTGTTAAGCTCAAGTCTGCGATTACTCCCTCTAATTAAATGCAGCCCATCTCTAGCTACTAGCTTTTCCTTTGTAGTGTTTTCCTCTCTTTGTGACTTCACTGCCATTACACCCTTTGTTGCACCATAGCCATTTTGCTTGGAAACTCCCAAGTTTCTCCTCTCTGTTGTTCACTGCATAACCTCACAGCGCTATAGTATCTGGCATGGCAGTCTGTTCCCTAGGTATCACAGATGGAAAATTATTGCTCTTCAATGCTTCAAACAACACAGGTTTTCTAAAGCATAGGGTCATATTTCATATCATTATCCACAATGAAGGATATTTGATGCCATTAATGTCAATGCCTATTTGGAACAATTGCTACATTTGATCATTAAAAATGCCCTGTAACTATCTTCTTTCTATTATGCATATGTTTTTTGTCTTAGTTTCTTTCTCCAATTCATCCCCATAGACTAGTTTGTTTTAGTTTTAGAATTCCACTAGGGTTTAAATTAACTGTGTATTAAAAAACAGATCGGATACTGTTACTACTGCTGAAAACAATGTACAGTATGTTATTTTTCAATACTTTAATACTGTTAGGAATATAGGTAGTGAGACTTATTTGATAGCAAAGTGAGCATATGTCCAGAGATATTTTCAAAATAATGTAAAAGTTACATATATATATATTAATGGTATTTGTGCATTATAAATATAAATGTTTTGATCAGGAAAATGTACAGTAAACTCTTCTAAGTGATTAAGTGTGTTAACCAAGACACGTATCTGAACATTGTTTTAGATTTGATTGGCCTTAGTCCTGATGATAAAACCAAACAAATGAAATGCAGAATGTTGACTGAAATGTAATGGCTAAAATATTTATAGGCATGAAAGAGTCAAGGTAAATTTATAGTCTTATGATGTCTATGGTAGTATTGGATGTATATACTTAAAGTTATTGGTGGCCAAATGCGACAGGGATAGAATCATAGTTCGTACACCCTGGTTTACTGATTTTTATCTCTTGGATGTATGTAAAATACTCTGAAACTGCTGTCCTATGACTTGTGTGTTTTTTGTTGAGGATCAGTTGTGTGATTGTCATACACCTACTCTAGAATAACAGCATCAATGTGGAATAGGAAGTTAAAAGTGTGGAATCTTTCTATATTCTGGTACCATGTACTTCCTTTAATGTTTCTGTCAAATATATGATTTCAGAATTTATTAACCTATTTTTTATTTGATTTAGTTTTATAATTTTTGAATCAAATTATTACAAGGTATGTTGATTTCAACTGCTGTCTTATTTTTCAGAATGGCTTAGATCCCATGAATGTGTGTCAGAGAAGAGGGTTCAGTAACTGAACAACCTCATCTTGTTGCCATTTATCAGCTATTCTTGTTACCATTGATAAGATCATATTTCCTGTTTTTTTGAGTATTCCCCTTTTAAATCACAACTCTGGAAGCCTAAGGCAGAGGATCACAAGCCGGAGCAACTGAGCAACTTAGGAAGACCTTGTCTCTAAAAAAAACTGTATAAATATGTTTTTGGAATGTAGTTCAATGCAAAAGCCTTGGGTTTATTTCTCTGAAGCATATATATGTGTATGCGTGTGCGAATGCTTGCACACACAAAATCAAGATTAGTTTTTCTTTTCTGTTTCTACCTCCAGGCAGGAAACAAGGTGGACTTTAACTTATAATGAAGTTTAAAGGGGTAATTGTTTACCTCAGTTTTAGATGATAAAATCAGTTTTAACAAATAGCACAAGTGAAAATTGGACAATTTAATTGATGTGTGGTTTAAAGCACAAATATTTTAAAAACCTTTTTAGAATATGTTACTTTTTATAAACATGATTAAGATCAACAGATTTAGTCTACAGAGCTATAAATATCAAAAAGCAACTCAGTGAAAGTTTATAGAAATTAATTAAATTGTACTCCTTTATAAGCAGGCTGTTTTTATAAGGAAAACCAGAAAACATAATGCTCTAGCTTTTAGTCAGAAGTCCAGGGTAGATTTGAGAAATGTGTTGCTTATGGCATGATCATAGCAAAAACATTCAGTTCCCAAAGAATGCTGGGAAATCATGCAGTCCAGTGGCTATAATATAGTGTTTTGTGTACCCAAGTTTCCTCCCTGTTTAGAATCTCATCTGTTACACTTAGCTAGTTTTTTATAACACAACCTCCTTGATTGGGTGAAGATCTCAGTGGCAGAGCCTGTGATGGTTGTACCATGTTTGTCTTACCTAATGATACTTCACTGCTCACATCTTTGGGATTTCCATCTAGGCAGTGAAGTCAGGAATTTGAAGTTTCTTAGTAAATCATGAACGTTTCTACTTTTAGTCCTAGTATTAGAAACAAATCAAACAAAATTCTACATGGAATTACTCTTTCAATATGGATAGAGAACTTAATTTTGAAATGACCAAAGCCTAGCTAAGGAGCATTCCTTCAGATTTTTTAAGCCTATCACTTTATGAAGTTGGATTACTGGATGTCCTGGGACCACATTTCCATAGTCTTCCAAATAGATGGCTTAAAAGAATTGTTATTTAATAGTATGGCCTTGATAGGAGTCAGTTAAAGAGAAGGTTATATGACAGCCATCTCTTAGCTTTTGTAAAATTGCAATTGCATTATGTAGGTTGTTAGTTCTTACTTGTAATAAAGATTTTTGTGATAAAATCTTAGAGCTTTATCCTAGAAGTTTTCCATTTCTTTTTACATCTGGTATCTGTTCCTTTATTTGATGCTGATTTGTAGCTCAGTAGTTCCTTTGAGGGGTTTTCTGAGAATCACAAAACCAAATTGATTATAATTTGGTAAAATCCTTACTAATGTTTTTATTTATTATTTCATGTTCCTGTCCCATTTTCATATCTTTTCTTGAAAGAGGAAGTATGTAAATAAGGGAATAAGTTAGATCACTTCATTCCAAATTTGAATATAAGAATAAGCAATACTTAAGCAGTTTTCACATGGGAATCTCTTAAGTCATTATCCCAATTCAGAGAACTCACACTGTTCGACTCTAAACACAGCTGGCAAGTGGGTGCCATGCCTGAAGAAATGGAAACCAAGGCTGGAGCTCTGCTCTGTGTGTCATTGGACACCCAAAAGCTGGAGGTTTAGACTGACCATGAGGATTTAAAGCAGGGAAGGAGATGGAGTGATAATGTTCCACTGATATTTTCTGAAGTGATAGCTATTGCCGTCACAGATGTCTGCTTTGTAGGTTTTATTTTGCTTTTGGGTTTGCTTTTCCTGCAGCACTGGGGCCTCAGTTTGGGGCCTTTCTTCAGCATTGGGAAGTACCCTCAGGATCTTCTCTAGAATATTTTTGACATTACCACCATTGTAGGTTATACAGAAATTCCTTTTAAATAAATTCCTTTTAAATATGCTTTTAAAGTTGGTGAGTTGATTGATGTTTGCATTGCATTCTTCTGTGAACATTGATGACATATGGTTCACTGAATTAAAGAGGATAAAAATACTAAGTATCTCAAAGATGACTTTTTTGGTGCTTAAAAATTTATTATTACTATGAGAGCATATTTTAATGAATTGATTTTCCTTAATATTATAATATATTTTAAAGAAAAAAGATTGAGTCACAAAATGTATTTGTTCTCTCATAGGATCCTGGTTACTGGGTGAAAATTCATCACTTAGAGTACACAGATGGAGGAATCCTGGATCCAGATGATGTCTTGGCAGATGTTGTTGAAGACAAAGATAAGGTAGATGACTATAATGTTCTCTTGGTTTTGGAATCTTTAATGAACTCATGTTTTAATTATTATTAAAAGATACGATCTGTTCAAGTGTTAACTGGACAACCCATAAATCAAAGTTCTTCATCAGATGTGTGGAAAAACTTTGTCAGGGTTTGGGAACCTGTTGTGGTGGCCTAATAGCAGATACTTCACTCCCAAGAGTTCTTGATATATCTCAATAAATTAGTGTCAGCCGCTGAGGCAGCTGGATTTCTTCTTCATGCTGCTGGCTTTGGAAATTTATTTCTTGCCCTTGAGAAATGTTCCATTTAATATGTGAGATTTGAAAGTGTTTCACAGCACAGAATACAATTGTGATATGGCACAACAGTGAAAAGGTATGATGCTCATCACACTATGGTGGTGGTATGGCAAACAACTATTTTGAGTGATAGTCTTTTTGTTTTCCATTGCTTAAGTAAAAAGCACTAAGAGACACTAAAATGTTTAAACATGATCTGCACATACTTGGGATTAATCCAATTGCAAATGTATATATTGCAGTGCAATTTTTCTTCTGATACTAAACTGATAAAGGTATAAAAGTAAATTATTCATTTGCAGTATGGCAGATATTGCTGTAGAAGCACATTGTTTGAAATTAATTCTGGGCTAGACTCCTCTTATCAATGGTGGATGTGTCCTCCATATTGAACTGTTTCTAAAGTTTCTTTTGTACATTTTTTACAGATGTTTCTCTGTATTGTTTCCTGCAGCTCATGTTGGGTGCATGGGTATGTTTGCATAGTTAGGTGTTTCAAACTGGACAAGAACACAAATAAGTGGTTTATTGAACTCAGATAACATTTACATTTTTTTCTGTAAGATCTTTTCAAACTGTTTAAATTTACATGCTTCTCTGCAGAGATTCTATACATTTGCTTTTCCTATTTTCTTTTGGAACTCAAACTTCATTTGCTTTGCATGGTAATTAGCTATTTGATCAGAGATTTACCTTGCTAAATAGATTGCCAGCTCCTAGAGGACAAGTATTTGGAGATTTTTATTTGTGTGTGTATGTTCCTTATAGCGACAGTATCTGGTACAATATCTTATATATGCTGGATTCTTGGTAAACACTGAATTAATAAGTGAAAAAGAAAGCTTTACTCTCTACATGTGTCATGTACTTATATGATTTTGTTACATATTTTTTGTTTATTTAGTTGGTCTCATGGTAAAGAAGAATATTTGGTTCTCCCTTAGAACACGAAGGGAGGGATTTCACTTGTTTTTCTCTGATTTACTTTCTCCTATACCCCAAGACCCTTTTCTTGCTTTGAAATATTCTAGGTATTTGGGTTGTTTATTAATGAAGAAGATGGTTTCTGTCTCACATTTCATGATGTCAGTGTCTTAAAATGAAATGCTAAAAAGTGACAAGTTTAAGAAGTACCCCAGCCTTGTCCAAGAACTTATTATAGGAGGGTGATTCCATGAACAGTGCCCAGGGAAATAATTTGCCTAATATTAGCTTGTTACTCTGCAGCTTTCACTTTAACTGTCTGAGCAATACTCTTTTTAACTCTAACCATTTAATAGGCACAGAATCAGCTTTAGTATATCTGCTCTTTTTTAACAGGACTCTACCACTATTACTAAATATGATGACATGAGATAATCGGTTAAAATCCTAGAAGAGAATTCATGTGGTTTGGGTATAGATTTAACCATTCTGTTAATGCAGTTTAATGTTTCTCCATGAAGCCTAACTGATTTAGTTCTGCAGTTGATGAGAATTTACACTTTCAATGTTGCCAGTAAAACACTGCATTCCAATTTTTTCCCTTTTTAAGAAACAACAGTGAAAAAGAGAGCATTACTTATTTTTTCTGACATTCCCTCTCTGTAATCATAAAATTTCCTTATGGTCTATATGTCTAGTGTGGAAAAAAGGCTCTGCCAGACTTCATTTTATCTTACTTTTTCATTGGTTTGGATTAAGCAGTAATTATAAATGGTGCTCAAGACCCTTTGAGGCAGTATTCAGTGTAGAGAAAATGACAGTTTACCAATTTGCAAACTGGCTACCTAATATTCTTTTGCATTTAGAATATGGATAGAAAGCAAGCACAAAGAGGCCCATATAGAATTATTGTGCCAAATTCAGAACATTTCATTTCTTAGGTGTGTTAGTTACTTTTCTCTTGTTGCTGAGAAAAAATACCCAACACCCAAAGTTAAAGCGGGAAAGGTTTATTTAGATCACAGTTTGTAGACGTTTCATTCCATAATCAGTTGACTCCAAGGCAGGTTGGCATAGCAGAGGGGCAATCTTTCATGGCTACTCTAGTGGTAGAAGACAGCAAAGGCAATAAGAGCAAAAGGGAGGAGGAAGCTTCTTTTCAGTCCCTTATACTGTATGCAGGTTACCCACCCTAGGTTGAGTGTAACACTCACACTCCCAATCCTAGCATTAGACAATGAGCCAATAACAAACCCTAGATTCATCCACCTTCAAAATGTCTGCCCTCATGACTGCATGAGGCTTTCGCAGGGGCATCCAGAATCCAGACAGAAACCATAACATTAGGACAGACTCAGTACAGATACCAGTGGCATTAAGGAACTGTTGACAATGCTTAGTGCATAAATCCTTTGTTTTCAGAGGTTTTTTTTTTGTTTTTACCAAAATTTTATTTGTTTTATTTTTTTCCAATCATTGGTACATATTACATTTTCCAATTATTGGTACATACTACATATACATAACAACCACATTCATCATAGAGAATTTGCACCTGCACATGATATAACTTGTTTCTTTTTTTCCTCATTCCCCTTCCTTCCTTCAACCCCTCCACTCCTCCCCATTTACAAAAGCTTTGTTTCCATTTTTCTTTCATTTCTCTTTTTCATTATTTTTCTTTTCTTTCCTTTACCCCTCCCCCTTTCTTGTTCCTCTCCCCTTTTTAACATTTTATTCCTATTTTGCAATGCCTATCATACATTTTGGTCATTATTTACACTGTCAGTTTCTCACACAGAGAAACAATGCAGTATTTACACATGTATGTCTGATCTATTTCATATAAGAGTATAGTCTCAAGGTGCATCCATTTATCTAAAATGTCTCCTCTTCTTTAGAGCAGACTAGTACTCCATTGTATTTAAAAAAAACCAACACATCTTCTTTATCCATTCACTAGTTGATGGACATTTGGGCTGTTTTTAAAATTTGGCTGTGGTGTGATGATTTTAATTTTTTTTTGAAGGTACCACAAAGGGAAATAGCTGGGTCAGAGGTTTCATTTTTAACTTGCCTCCCTATTTACAGCCTTTTCCAGAGGAATCAATTTTTGTTTTTACCTTTTTATACTATTTCCATCCTGTAGCTTATCAAAAATTGAAATAGTTTGGGGATCTTACATCTTCTGATAACCAGTATCTTTATAAAATGTTGTACTAAAGCTTTGATTTTTTAGTTCGATAGTTATTGTCAAGATCCTTCAATTTAGTCTGATGATTAAAGTTCTTTGGTATAAATACCTATGATTGACAGTTTTACAGTAATGTCTCTTCTCTGGCTGCCAAAGGCAACAAACTTAATTCGCCCAGTAATGATGAAACATTTTACAGAGTGACCAGTAATGTCTTTTGTACTTACTATATTCTGTTTTATTTTAAACCAACCTGAAGGCAAGAGCCATTATTATCTCTGTTTTTAGTTCCTAGAATAGGCACAGAAACTGTAGGAAACTTAGTCAGGATCATGCAGGCCATGTAAGTAGCAGAACTAGAATCTGGGACCTAGAAGTTAAATTTCCATACTTTATGTTTTTCTATGATGTGCCAAGGGAGATAATTTGTCTAACACAACTCATTCCTCTGCAGCCTTCACTTTATCTGAGCAATGCTTTTGTATTTATGAATGTTCTTCAATCATAATTAAACATGAAATTTTGTTTTATGCAGCCACTACTATTGCTAAGAAAGCATAGACAGGGCCGGGGATATTATTCAGTGGCACAAGTGCCTGCCTGGCAAGTTCAAAGAAAGAAAGAAAGAAAGAAAAAGAAAGAAAGTAGTGGACTCAACTACGGGGCATAACAAAATTAATTAAAAGCTAGTATGTCATATATATTTAATTCATTTTAATTTGCTGCCTAGAGCTTGCATCTAATGTTTTATAAAGTCCTGTTAGTTTTACCAGTTTTCTCTGATTTTTTAAAGTTCTAAAGATAGTAAAAAAAGCTAATAAAAACAATACAGAATTTCAAAACAAGATGATAGGAAATTAACAATGGTTATCATATTGCATATTGTTATCTTCAAAGTGGTTGCTTAGATTACCAGATATAGGCGTGCAAGATTGGTCAAACAGTATAAACACTAACTGTTCCTTTCAATGAATTAATAGAAATTATTAGTACAATTATCTTAGCTATCTTGTATACCTGTTTGTTCTTGCCTCCCTTTATTCAGGACCCAGATTACTGAATTCAAAAGTAGCTTAACTCCACTTGAAGGTATGGAATGGTGATGCATGCCTGTAATCTTAGCACTCAGGAGGCTGAAGCAGGAGGATCACTGCTAGTTCAAAGCCATTGTGGGCTACATAGTGAGACCCTTTGTCAAAAACAAAAGAAAACAAAATCAAAAACAAACACTAATTCTACTTGGATTTTGTAGACTGTATTTGGAGTTTAACATATGCATTTTCAAGAAAGATAAATTGTGTATTCCAACAACTACTTTTTAAATGGATTTAGCATGTGCACAAATTATAAACTGTGCTGTCTTCAGTAGGCAAAATAATATCCCCTCGCCCCAGTATGATATGAGAGATACCATATGAGGATTACTCATCCAGTTTTGAAGATGGAGGGAGGTGCTGCAATCAAAAAATGAAGGTGGCCTTGCAAAGCTGTGAAAGGCAAGGGAATGGCTTCTCCCCACTAGCTTCTGGGAAGGACCTGCACTGTAGCCCAGAAGAGCCATTTCACACTTCTTCCGGAGTTGTA